CGTTTTTAGAACTAAATAAGTGCTGCCATCCAGTGAAAACTGTACATTCAGCGCAATCACTTTATTTTAAAAAAAAAACGTTAAGCAAGGAAAGACAATCAATTTGATTTCTATACTATTCAGTCCAATTGTCGTGTATTGGTTACAGGAGGAGATTGAGCAAGTTCTCAAAAAGGATTTTATTTTTCGGGACTGGTATAGATTTTATGGTAAAACAGTAGTTTCAATGTCAGTTTTCAGACCGGGAACTTTATGACCGATGTGTTGAATGGTATGTTTGAATCAATTTCCAGGCTGGATTACAACTTGTATTTGCTGACCAGGCTGACTGAGACAGTCACTTCTACTGCTCTAGAAAAGTAAATGAAAAATCATCAATATGAATGGGATACTAAATGTTTCATTCCATAGTTAAAACTTGCTTTCCCTTTTCCTCAATCATTTTCTTTCTATAAAATAAAAAGCAAATGAAAATTAGGAGGATATTTCACGTCTAAATTGGTTGTCTGATCTTACAAATCTGTCGGTAGTGGACAAATATACGCAAGAAAAGGTGTTGAGTGGTGAGTGCTCTCCATCACGTATTTTTTGAGTTTTTTTCACAATATTTGCTGTCCTACAGCCCTATAAAATCCAATCACTTCATTTATTATCAATTTGGTAAAAGTTTAACGAGACTTACATCTTCAATAACTCTGTGTATCTGGAAACAAATCGAAATGAGTATGATTCTATCAAAAAAACAACTCAAAAAAACCTACGTGTCATCAATTGATTGCATTAGTATATTGCCACAAATGTTCGCCCGTGCCATCGCCTCATCATTTAAGGGATGTTATTAACTATTTTCAACTTGTAACCTGAGATTCTTTTGTTTAAACTTACAATAATAGCGATGATAAAAATAATTCCAGCAACTTTCATTCTGCACTGTAGTGATGAAATGTTTCATTCACAATAATAAACACCTCGTTAGCGTTACAAATGTATAATACAAAATATACGCACAAACATGCCATTCCAATGTGGACTTGCGTCTCAATTTGAATATTCATTTGATTTTTCCATCAAAAATACACGTTTCTGAAGCAATATTTTCGGAAGAAGACTGTGACTTAGTCGACTGATGGAATGATTTTAATACGTAGAGTCTATAACTATCAGAATCACGCCTGACTTTGCGATGAAAAATATTCGGTGTGAACATTTGCAAAACAATTTTTGGAGAATTTCAATTACCTTACACATTCTGATGTAGATCAGCACATTTTTTCGTATTTTTCGAGAGAAAAAAACCATCGTTTTGTTGTCAAAGCAAATGATAGAATATATTGAATTCAAAAACTGAATCTCATTAAAGCACAAAAATTGAAGTATTCTAAAGTTGGAATTCGGGTGACGATATTTCTAAGAATATTTTGAGCATATTGACGTCTATCATGCGATATTTGATTCAATGCAAATATTTTGAAAATAATATTAATTTCAATGAATAATTTGTGCAACTAAATTCAAATTTGCATTACTTTAATGCCACTAGTGACATCTCTCTGAGATTGATCAAAGTCGGCATACATCTAATTCTCCATACGAAGAGAGTGACAAGCGGCGATTGCATGAGCAGTGCTTATTGAGTACTTGCAACACGAGCTCACGTATCAATCCACACTCACACAAACACAAGCACAATATTAACCAATTTATCGGCATCTGTGTGACTACTCATTCTTTTCATCGGTGACATTCAATGCAGAAACACGTACTGCTGACACAATCATTTTTCATTCATCAAACCAACAAAGTTTGTAAAACCAAGAACACATCTGATTGAAATCAATCAGTTCTTTGCCCGAAAGATAATTACACTTGCCATAAACTTTCAAGTACTTATCGATTCAACAAGTGAAGAAAAAAAAAACAAGAATTGACTGAAAACCGCATAGGAAATGGGGAATGAAAAGAAGTAAGTTTATTCTGATGGTTCAGTCGATTTACACATTTGAACAAAAGAACAAGGAATATTGCTTATTAGATCCATCGTTCATAAAAACCGTAATTTTCACATTGTTTTTGACACGTCTCATGTTATTTATTAATGAATTTTAGATACAAGAGTTTTGAAGATACAATAATTATTTGGGAATAGTTTCTTCTGTGCCTACAAACCTTACCTCAAAAATTTCTTTGCTGTGTCTAAAATGTTAAGTTCTTTTCATTGATTTTCAGACAATCGACAAAAAGTGAAGTGAAGAAAGAGCCCAGCTCTGAAAAACCACTGGAATCGAATGACCGAATGGTGTCTGTGACTCCGAGCAACATTCAATCAGTTGATTCATTCGAGATCAAACAGGAAAGCGACATCAAACAGGAGCCAGTGTCTGCTGGTGAATTGGTTGACATTTTGGTATCGACTCATCGCAATACGGTACATGTCCCTGGTTTCAACGAACGTGACACTGAATACGATTTTGATCACTTAAGCTTCGACGAGGTTAAAGCCGAGGTGAAGAACGAATGTGACAAAAAGAAAGAAGAGAAGGCGAAGACAAGTGCTGACAACGGGAAGCAAGCGATGGTTGACCAACAAGACCGACAGCCACCTTCACAGAACGAAGAAGATTTGTACACGGTAGCAAATGGAAATGAGGCACACAACACACAGTAACGAGGCAGTAAAGCTCATGGAAACACATCAAAGCCACACAAATGTGAGTTTTGTGAATATTCCGCTCAATATAAGTGGCTTTTGAATCGTCATTTATTGAAACACACTGGCGAGAGGCCACACGGATGCGCCCTTTGCCCGAAACGTTTCAAAGAAAAACGAAGTCTTCGAGATCACATGAAAGCTCACGTCGAAGAGTTTCTGTTCCATTGCTCAGGCTGCTTGCAAGGATTCGATGAAAAGGAACAGAAAGCAGAACACGAAGCTAATTGCAAAATTCGTCGCTTTGAATGTCATTTGTGCAAGGAGTCGTTTGGTTCATTTAAGACAAAGATGGTGACACACATGCGCGTACACAGTGGTGACAAACCGTTCGAATGTAAAGAATGCCCAAGAAAATTCTCTCGAATTGATTGTCTCAAGAAGCACATGTACAACACTCACACGACAAAGCTTCCATTTAAGTGTTTGATTTGTCACCGTGGTTTTCTGAAGAACGACAAACGGAAAGCACACCAACGAACTTGCAATGGACGCTACTGCGAGTGTTATTTGTGCAAGAAGTTCTTCCGTTCATCCAACGACCAATTGAAAGGTCACATACACACACATTCAGGTGAAAAACCATTCCGCTGCGACCTGTGTCTCAACACATTTACACAGAAGTCGGATTTGAAAAGGCACATGAAGAACATCCACCACAAGCAATACTGAACGTGGCGATTTGATTGCACGGATATTCCCATGTGAGAGTCAGACAACATTTATTTTCATCGAATAGACTTCATTGAATGAACAAAAAGAATCATACAGAATCACGAATATTTCAAATATTTCTATCAAGTACATTTAAAACCTGTTACTCGAAAAATTGATTTAAAACGATTTTATGTTTATTGAAAATCTTCGAATTAACATCATAAATTTCGTTAAAATATCTTTAGTTTTTGAATTAGTTGAAATTTCATTCAACCGAACAATTATATTCACAAATCAAACATATATTTTCTTCAATAAATAGTTTGTGAAATGTGAAACAAATCCGAAATTGCAATATTTCTTTCATTCACTAAATTTTTTTTTTCATTTTCAAGCCAATGAATGCCAGAGACATGGTCGTGTGGAAAAGTAATACGAACTGATACTGATGCATTTACCAGTAAAGGTGCCTTGTTTACACCAAATAATTTCGGCGATACAAATGACAACAGAGAAACAAATAATTTCAATTGACTATGCGCATTCAATGAGCCATCCCTCCGAACTCCTAAAACAAATTCGTTAGCTGTTTTCAGCCGGCATTCAATCCTCATTTAATCAAAGTCATTATTTGACCGTTCGGTCCATAAACTATCTAAGTATTGTAATCGCCAACAAATCCTTTTACTCTGAATTCTAAAACATCAAACATTTTTGTACTTACCTATCTAGAAGCAACTTTTTACAAGCAAAGCAAACCAGCCCAAACCTATCGAACAATCTTCTAATTAAGATTATAATCTGATTTCAAAGAATAAACAAAGTCTCGGAAAGGTCAATTGTTTTTCTACGAAGAATTAATCGAAAAATAAATTTATTCAAAACAAAATTGATCTTTTTTTTTCAGTACAAAAATTGTCGCATTTATTAACAGAAATGTAAGTAATTTAAATTAATTAATCATAGCGATTTTCGCAGAAACAAGAATAAAATTAATGTACTTAATAAGAAAGAGATAAGTGTGTGACGCTTAGAATATAATGTCGTTGAATATTTTCTTTATTCGTTGGAGAAAAAAAACTGCTTCAAGCTTTGAATCACCGTTAAATCGAAAAATGTCGGAATTTAATGGAAAAAAACAAGTGTTCATGATGTGGTTCTGGAAATTATGTTCTTTATCAGTGAATCACTCTTTCTTCGTTTCAGGCAATGTTGGACATATTTTTGTGCTCGCTTGAAGGCGAACTCTTCGAACAGAGACTTAAATTATTCACATTAAATTAAACCGAATCGAACTCCGAATGATGCAAAATTATACGCTAAAATGTAATGACACAACTTGTTTCCATAGTTTCTATGAATATATTCATTGGTCAATCTTTCAACAAAAATGATGGCATTTTACACCAATTTTTCAAATTAAAGAGAATCACAGTAGATCAAAAAACGAGATTTTTGAACATTTCAATTAAATTCATACGTTGAATTTCAGAGTCAGCACAACAAGATTACACTAAATCTCTTCACTTCCAATTCCATCAAAGTTCTTTATTCCCATTTAAAGTCCCATTTGTATTTGAACCAAAGTGCACCGAAAACAATGACAAATGTCACGATCAAAATCATCAAGTAAACGAAGCAATCGGATGTTCCACCTCGTTCAGAGTCATACAGATACTCAGATCTGCTGGGGCCATCGACTTGGATGATTGTCTTATTTTGTTGAAATAGTGGCACTTCATCAGTGTCATCGTCGTCAATCGAATAGATTTTGCCTATGTTCAATGTGGGTGGCTCTCCATATGCATTACTATTCAACAATTGTTTGTATCCTCCGCTCATCATTGCTTTTAACTGCAAACCAAACAAATATTCACAACGAATGAATTAATTTTGGAATTTTCCAAATTCGAAAAAGCCGCTTACTTTTTCGATCGATAACTACTAATTTGTCTTAGTTTCAAGCTGCGTCCAAGCGACTTTTATTTTATTTTATTTCAAAAAATTTAAGAAATCTGTCTTCAATGCTCTTTCATTGCTCAATTCATACTGAATGAATGTCAGTCCGTCGAATGATTGCCTTATCGGTCTTATGTACAGAGCTAAAAACACATCTGCATGAATCACTCACATTTGATAAGGAGAACAATCTTTAGCTGCTCAGCATCGTTTTACATGGAGTTGAATGGTGTTTCATAAGGATTTCGAATGAACGAACGAACGTACGAATGAAAGAAATGAATAAAAAAGAATGAAAGAAATAGAAATATTTCAAAGAAATCAAGTATGCGAGCACCTAATTGTCGCAGTAAACAGTGAACACACATGCAAGCATCCGCTCATGTACACATCGTATATAGGTTCATTGCGACACGTTCCGACTGTTCAATGCCAAGTGTCGCTACATTAATTTTCGGAGAGAAAAAAACCAGCGAATTTGTTTATTTGATGCAACCAAATACAAAATATTTTACAAAGCATAGAAAAAACGTTGTCGCGTTGTGATTTACATACTGTGTTCAGTATACATTACTCAGTTAGCAATGCTCACGATGATTAGGTGCGTAGAACCGAAATCATGATTTAAGTATGCTACTATGCTTAACTTACTTTGCTTTATCACACTTTTATTATCGCTTGGAGAAAAATCCATGTCGTGACGACATTTTCGTATGCGGACTATAATCATTTGTTTAGCTGGAAAACATTTTACTGCTCATAGAGCAGTGCCCAACTTTAATTCGACGTATGAATGAGATTTAAGGTCGAGTCTTCGACGAAAAATTAAAAATGTTTTCAAATTTCGAAGAAACTTCTTTTCGAACCAAAATCGCCTTCATTACTTAATTCAAACTTTCCATTTTGTCACATTTTTGCATCTAATTCTCTTTCTCAACGTTGCACCACATTTCTTTACTCAAACTAGGTTGATAAGAAATTGCAATGTTTGCCTCTTGGTCGTCTCGATTGTAAGACAACAGAGAAGATTAGGATTAATCCTGTCAAAAAACAAAACAAAAGTCTCTGAGTGTGAGCTCAATGTATGCTCCCTGCTATGAAAAGGATGGAAGGGAAAATGCGTTGTATATAGGAATTGTTGTTGTATGCTGCTTCCGACCAGACTGGTCGGACCAGTCGACGTCACAATGAATTGATAAGTAGGATGGCATATATGTTTATTTGAATGAGTCTATGAATACTTGACGTAATTTTGGTATAGGCAATTGGTTTACATTGTAGACTTTACATTTCAATAACATTCAATTGAAATTTGCAACAACAATCAACACAAGTAAATTGAGTTCTTCATCAATACATCAAATCGTGTGGTTTCACTTTGTTGATCGTTCAATGCGAGGAAGTGACGGAACCTCACACATTGCAAAAGTTTTTTATTCCAGTTTGTAAGAAGAAAAAAATATTGAAATTTCATCCGGTCGTTTGCGTTGCCTCATACTTTGAACGTTATTGAGCAAAACAAAAAACTGCAACTCAGTAAGTCTTTTTGCAATTGGGTAATAAAAACACGATTTTTAGGTGAATGACACTTTTTATTTCGAGTCAAACATTTCGAAGAGTGAAATAATCGAAGAAATGAATACGAAGGTAGGTAGAAGAATAAGGTATAGAAAAACAGAATGATCTCTGATTGATCGATCGATGACACCATCCACTGTCATTTCTACTGAATTTGAAACTAACGAGAGTATTGTTCAAAGAAGGCTCGAACCAAGCACAGATATTGTATAACATACAAAGACCCCACAACGGTGTTCAGATAACAAAGTTGTTTCGAGATGAGTTCATACACAAACAGTGTAAGAGGAGGAAAGCATGTGTCACTTGTTGTTGAATCAGTGGATTGAAGATGTTTTGGGTGGCTCTTGCTGTTCTTCTTCCTTTTCTTTCACTTTCATTCTTTCTTCATTCTTCATTTTCTTCCTTTCATTCTTCTTCATCTTTCGTGTCCGTCCATTTCGTTTCAATTCTGAATTAGCTAATTGATTTAATGAATTGTGTTTTGTTTAATTCAACTAATAAGGAAAAAAATTCTTGATTTGAATGAATTTCGATGATTTCTGCCATTTTTAGGGCAGAACATATGTTTTTGTCGTAAAAATGAATAAATCCGCTTGAACCGTGTTAGATATGGTCGAAATCTCATGCATATGGAAAAATAGTGAGCTGATTCAATTTTGATATAATCAACTTGAATTGAAATAATTATTGATACAGAGATTTCTTTACGTTGATGAGAATTCACATTGATTCGAATGGCTTCGGGAATTTTCCCATTGGAA